GACACCCTTCGCCCCGTCCCTGTTGTGGTGATGGGGACATGTCACCGCGGCCCCTGTCCCCTCCGTCCTGGGCAGCATGCGAGCCGCCGCAGCGTCCTGGAAAGCAGCTCCCACCCGTGCCGGGGCTGGGGATGAGCTGTCCTGGCAAGCGTGACCGCGGGGGCCGTATCCGGACGGGCTGCCGTCCCCCTCGGCTGCAGTCAGCTGGCCGGCTCCGGCCCTTGGAGGGAGACTCCTTGCCTGGCCACGGAAAACCATTAGGGCTTTGAGCAGGGTTCAGGCCAGCTGGACATGGTCCACAGCCTTCGAGGAGTCCCCCGTGCCAAAAAAGTGGCTTTTCTTTGAAGCTCAAACACCGCCGGGGCTCTCCGGGGAAATCGGGCCCCGCGAGGGGCCGGCAGCCCCTCTGCCCGGTGGGACCACGGCTGGGATGTCCCTCCTGCAGGGAAAGCTGGCATTTGGTGGCACTTAGGAGGTGGTGATGGGCAGAGGGGAGAGGAAAGGGGGGAGCACAGCCTTGCTGCCCCGCAGGATGTTCAGGGGCTGTTGAAAATACAAACCTAGCCGTCCCCGGTGGGGTGGAAACGTTACAGCTATAAAATGTCTTGCTGCTGCAAGGGAAGGATTCAGGGGGAGTGATTTGCAAGCTGGTGTGCCTGCTGTCCTGAGACATTTCATTAAGGCAATTCAGACTTATCTTCTAATATATATTTTTAAGGGGTAAATTCACTTGGGCGTTCAGGGAGGAGCTGCTAACCCCACGAGCCAGCGCTGCCCCGTGCCCGGGAGAGAGGGGCCCCGCGGGCCCTGAGGACCCTCTGCCGCGTGGAAGGGACAGCTGCCAGGCTTTGTGCACAATCTTTAAAATGCTAAAAAATGCCTTTTTACCACCCTTTCAGCAAAACTGGCACCAGTCAGTAAAAAAAGCAGCAGCTGGGAAGAGCTGGAGTCATGCCCTGGCCTTGGGAGCAGAGTCCTGCTGGTGTGAGCATCCCTGGGGCTTCGGGAGCAGCTGGGAGCCTCACTGGGGGCGAGGATGGGGACGGGAACGGGGATGCGAATGGGGACAGGAATGAGGATGAGGATGGGGATGGGAACAAGGATGGGGATGGCGTCAGGGATGAGGATGGGGATGGGAATGGGTATAGGGATGGGGACGGGAACAGGGATGGGGACAGGGATGAGCATGAGGATGGGGATGGGAATGGGTATAGGGACATGGATGGGGACAGGGATGGGGACGGGGTGGGGATGAGGATGAAGACGGGGATAGGGACAAGGATGGGGTTGGGAATGGGTATAGGGATGTGGATGGGGACAGGGATGGAGATGGGGGTGGGGATGAGGATGGGGATGGGGACAAGGATGGGGATGGGAATGGGTATAGGGATGGGAATAGGTATAGGGACGTGGATGGAGATGGGGATGGGGACAGGGATGGGGGTGGGGATGAGGATGAAGATGGGGATGGGGACAAGGATGGGGGTGAGAACAGGGCCATGGATGGGGATGGGGACAGGCTCTGCTCGCCCACACCATGTGCTGGGAAAGGAGGTGCTCGTGGGGACTGATCCCTGTAATCACTTCCATGTGCCTCAGCAGAGTCTTCGGCTGGGGGGGGGTTGCTCTTCTGATAGCTTGGGCATAAAAAAAATCAATCGGCATTTACTTGGCGGTGTTTTGTTCAGAAACAGATGTGCTAAAGTCAGAGGAGGTGGAGGATGCTCTGCGGGATGGGGCTGGGGAGGGATCCAGCCGGACCCAGAAGCCCCCGCCACCATGGACACGTGCTAAACTGGGCAAACCAGGACAAACCGCCGGCTGCCAGGCAAACCCCCCGCCGTGCTCCTGCCAGATGTGGCTGCTGGGGTAGGGGCGGCAACCCCCTGCCCCGCTGAAGGCTCCCAGCGAGGAGGAGGAAGGGCAGGCGAATCCCTGGCGCGGAAGCCGTTTTGGGCAGGAAATCCCGCGGGCCTCTTCCCCCCAGCAAGGCAAGCAGCAGGAAACTGGGGTGGCCGGGAAAGGAAACTTGATTCCCAGCGACCGGAGCGGGGCTGGGGGCTGCAGCAGAAAGCAAGGGCTTGCAGGATGCAGCGGGGCCGTTGGGTGCTTTGGGACATCAAGCAGGAGCAGGGGTGGTGTGGGGCTGGGGGAAGAGCCGGGCTTCGGCTGGCTCCGGCACGGGCTCTGCCGGCAGCATCCCATTGCCAGCCGGGTTAGTGGGTCACCGTAACAATGCCCTTGGAGCATTTCTCCTCCTGGTTATCGGAAACTAGGCCTGCTCGATGTCGAGCTATTTGGCAGGAAGGGCAACAAATTAGTGCCTTAAACATCCTTCTGGTTCTGGTTGGAAAGGGCTCTCGCAGGGAAGGGGTTGTGCACATCTCAGCACCTTGAATCAGCACGCACAAGTTTTTTGGCCTCATGTCCTAAGAAAAAGAGATGTCTATGGATTTTTTTTTTTCCCCTCCTTAATAACTGGAATCTGTTGGCTAATTTCAGCCAGATCTGACAGTAGCATCTCTGAGGGTCTGTAAAACCAGAGCGAAGAAAGAGAAACCCTGTTAGCTGCCCCCTTGCCGGAGAAGGTGGGCACAGCCTTGGGTTTGAGCTCAACCCTTACAAGCCATCTGAGAATCCACAATGGGAGCACAGCTGGGGTGAGCCCAGCTCGCTGTCCTGCTGCTGCAGGAACAACCTCTGCCTTGTGTCGATGGCAGATGGGGAATCGCTGGGTGGCCGTGTCCCTCCCGTGGGGTGGCTCTGCTTCCCCTCGGGCCATGTTGAGGCGTCTCTCCTGGTGGCTCCATCCATGGGACCGCAGCTCCTGGCTGGGCTCGCTGCCTTCCCCGTGGCTGTGTCCTTTCCCGGGAGCATCGTGCCGGGTGCTGACAGCAGGGAAGCCGCGGCAGCCAGGCAGATTCCCACCAGCGCAGGATGCAGCTCTTGACATTTCCATTTTTGGGAACGGTTCGCATGGACTTTGGTCTCACTTCTTTGAATCCGCTTCGCCTCATGACTCACCGCCTTCTCGCCTTGGCCCACCGCTCCCATGCAGAGGGAAACCCTTCCCCAGGACAGGCTTCAGGACTCGCTCAGGTGCATCCTTGAGGATGCACGCGTTGCCCACGTGGCTCTGGAGGCCACCAGCCCCAGGCAGCAAAAGCATCCACTGGGCACCCAGTGATCCCAAGCCACCCACCCAGGGCTTCTGGCCCGGGCACGGCAGTCTGCGGTGCCTGGAGGGCGTCCACCCGCACTGCAGACGATTTCCATACACAGGGTCCATCCCACCTATTCCAGCTGTGACCCAG